AAAAAGAAAACAAAACAAAATGATGAACAAAAACCAAAACTATGGCTGTGAACTAGAACTGATCACATAGGAGAGAACTGTACAGAAGGAAAAAAAAAAAATAGGTGCACATTCAATTCTAAATCATTCCATAATTCTGCAGATAGATTTTTAACAAAGGAAAAGTAAGTGAGTGGTACAAAATAATCTGACACTTGCTATCTGAATTGTTCTGAAACAATCAACCTTCTGAGAATGCTAGAAAGCTATGAAATACATTACATCAATTTAAGGCACACAGAACCTGCAAGGCCATGGGGGAATATTGAGCCAAAATCTGAAAGAGAAGTCAAGCTGAGAGAGGTAAGCCTGCATTTGGTGGTGCTTTTCTCCACGACATGAATATCCATTTTTGAAGCAGAAACTACCAGACTAAGAAGCTGAGCACAGATGGTCAGTATCACAGACCTGGGAGGCAAAGATCAAAAGTTCAAGACCCAACAACAACAATTTCCCAGTAAATACAGTATGTTTTTTTTTTTTCTTTTTATTGAGGTATAATTAACCTACAGTCTTATATTATTGTAAGCTTTTTATTAATACTGTCAGGGTCTACACCCTAGAAAGAAGGGTAAATATGGAATAAGTCAGCCTTACAAGGACTGCAGCTAAAACTCAACTGTCTTGGTACTTGATTGAATTAGTAATAACTGCCTCTCATAAGAAATTACAGGAAAACAGATAGCTTGATAGACTAAGATTTGACTAAAAAACCAAGATAAAAGAGAAATCGCTAGAGATCTTGATATTAGAGTTTTCAGATATATTTTATACTAACTCATTAAGCATTAATGAAATAGTGTGTGATAAATAGAATGAGTAGAAAATTTGTAATTGTAAGAAAGGGAATTGAATGGAAATTCTGGCATATAACAATGTAACATCTACTTAAAATATAAGTAAAATTATGAATCTAATGGATACATTCTGTGTTTTTTAAAGGGGGATGATTTTTGACTCAGATGGATTTTGACTCCAGATAGATACTTCATGGATGGACCGACAAATATTTGGAGACATTTGGGGGTATACCAGAAGGAAGGTGCTACTGGCATCTTGTGAGTGGAGGCGGAGATGCTGTTAAACATCCTTCAAATCACAGGGTAACCCACAAAACAAAGAATTAGCCCAAAATGTCAATCGTGCCATGATTTCAAAAATCTTCAACAGCAGCTTAAACCCACTTAACAAAAATTGGTGAGCTGGAAGACAGGTCAAGGGAAAATACATACACTGAAAAGGGCATAGAATGGCTGGAGTACGGGATTACAAAGGTTCCTGTGGAATCTTGACTGAGGTATTATTTGCACTGTTGTATACCTATTTCAAACTTTACACTTTAAAGTTTTGTCATGGGGCTCCTGGGTGACTCCATGGGTTAAGTGGCTGCCTTGGCTCAGGTCATGATCCCAGGGTCCCGGGATCGAGCCCTGCATTGGGCTTCCTGTTCAGTGGGGAGTCTGTTTCTTGCTGTACTGCTCTCCCAGCTTGTGCTCTCTCTCTCTGAAGTGAATAAATAAAAAATATTTTTAAAATAAAAATAAATACAAAATAATAAAGTTGTGTCATTTATGAGATGTCTATTATACCTCAATAAAGACATTAAAACAAAAGAAAAAAAAATCATAGTGAGGGAAAATATTTGCAATACCATTAACAAAAGATTAGCATCTCAAATATACAAAAACTCTTACAAATTGATAAGTAAAAGGACAAAAAACCTCAATTAAAACTTAGATTTGACTAAATCTAAATCTAAATTTAGATACCTCTAATCAAATACTTCACAAAAGGTATTCAAATTTCAATGAACATATGAAAAGGCAGTCATCCTCAGAAATCATTGAGATACAAATAAAAGCCACAAAGAGATACTGTCATATCCACTATTGAAAACTGACAATACCACATGCTATGAAGTGTGTGAACTCCTGGAAGTCTCAAACATTGCTGGTGGAAATGAAAAAGTATAATTATTTACTAAATGAAAAATAAAACTATAACGATTCAGCATGTTTTCTCTTTGGTACATTTTGAACATAGCATGTATAGACATGTAAAAGGTCACACATGATCTTTGGTCACATATGAGCTACAGGTCATATATGATCTACACATGTGTGACCATGTACATAAGGCTATGTGTGACCATGCACATGCGGTCATATATGATGAAGTACATGAGGTCATGTATGCTAGTGTACATGAGGTCATATGTGATTGTGTGCATAAGGTCACATGTGATCATGTAAATAAGTCATGTGTGATCATGTACAGAGCAGACATTATTCATGGTAGCCTCAAACTGGAAACAGCCTTAATATTCATAATCAATAAATAGACAAAACCAGTTATGTTATATCCATAGTATAGAATACTATGTATTTATATAAATGAACACATTCCTACTGCATGCATGAATATAGATGAATCTCACATACTGTGGTGGAAGAAGTAGATTATTTCATTTACATGAAACACAAACAGGTTCAACTAACTTACAGTTTTGTAAATCAGAGTCAGAGAAGAACTGGCAATATATATTTTGATGTGTGATGGTAGTTGTATAAGTTTTCCTATGCTTTAGTAACTGGATCAATCTGAAAATTTATAAAATGTACATTTTATTCATATGTAGGATGATTCAAGGATATATATATATATATATATATATATATGGTTATATATATGGTTATGTATATATATATATATAATTTTCCCTACTATTCTTTGGTATTTTGTACAAGATTGTAATGCAGTCAATACCCATTTATCAAGAGTATACCATGGACCTGGTGTTATAATATTGCATGGTTTGAATTGTGTTCTCCCAAAACTCTTATGTGGAAATCCTAATCCTCAGGGCCTCAAAATGTGATTGTATATGGAGATAGAATCTTTAACCAGGCAATTAGAATTAAACGAGGTCATCAGAGTGTGCCTTAATTCAATATGACTGGTATCCTTACAAGAAGAGATTAGGGGGTAGAAACACAAAGAGAAAGATGGTGAGAAGACACAGGGTGGAAACAACCATCTACAAGGCAAGGAGAGAGGCCTTAGAAGAAACCAACACTGTTGGTGCCTTGATCTTGGGCTTGCAGCCTCCCAGAACTGTGAAAATAAATATCTCCTGTTTAAACCACATGGTCTTTGATACTTTGTTATGACAGCCTTAGACAACTAGTACAGATATGCAGTGGGACAGTCAGACAGATAGGATATGGGTCCTTGCTAGAGAGAATTTCCAGTCTGACAGGGAAGCAATTCCATACCTACTTGAGGCTCAGAATTATAAATACTAACTAATTGAAGGTAAACAGGAACCACATTACCCAGAGCCTGGATAATGGCTGGTCAGACAATCATGGCCTCTACTTAGGTGGAACATGACAGATACACGCAGGAAGTGCGTTATCAGATGACTTCAACTCATAAGCACATTTTGATTGCCTCAATGAATCTCTCAATTCATTATTAAAGAAATTCAGTTAAAAAAGAAATACCTGATCAGAGAAATCATCCAACAAGCCACCTTGCCATGGCCTTAGTGGTAAGGAAGGGGTTTAATCTGACTTGCATGTTAGGGCCCAACTTCCCCAGACACTACACAGTCGGGTCCACACCAGGCACTGTCTATGAAGCAGATATGCAGTAGTAACAAAGATCAGCTTTCAATTAAAAAGTCCACGTTTTAGTGGACTTTTTCTAATGAAAACAATTGGTCATTTCAATACACCCTTCAAGGGAAAGTACTAAAATTACCAATAATTATGTTGTGGTATTATTGTTATTATATAAAAAAATAACAGTGCTGAAATATTATAATGCATGGCTGAAAGAAGTGAGTTTTCTAGGGTACCTGGGTGGCTGAGTCAGTTAAGCATCTTCCTTTGGCTCAGGTCACGATCCCAGGGTCTTGGGATCGAATCCCACATTGGTTTTCCTGCTCAGCAGGGAATCTGCTTCTCCCTCTGTCTATTGCTCTCTCTCTCTCTGACAAATAAATAAATAAAATTTAAAAGTAAGTTTTCTAAATTATAGTGAACGAATTATGTTGCCTTGGTGACTATGATGTAAATGTGGATGTTACACAGTTATAATACATACTCAAGAAGAATATATTTTAAATGTTTGCACTTAAGGAGGAAGAGAATATTCTGAAGTAAAAAGGATGGAGTCAGAGTTCTCCTACTTAACTTCCCAAAGCAGAATTTGGGTACCAATTAATACTGGCCTCATGACACTGTAAAAATCCAATGAAATTGTGTACTTACAAGCATTTCCAAAGGCTCAAAAATCATTAATAAGAGCAATTTATTATCCATATCAGTGGTTTTTGCAATTTGGGAGTGGTTTTATGTGGTGATGCACAAGTAAAAGGTTTTCATATTTTATCTTCGTCCTTGCCTTTCAATTAAAGCACAAACTAGAATTCTTCTAATATAAAAAATTGTGAAAATTTGAAGTATTTACACATAGTTTGGTTCCATTTTAAATGCTTCTACCTAACTCTCTGGAGCCACTTATGTTGTAAAAACAACCTATATCACTTTAGTGTCTAGCACTATTTTTCTCAACTGTAAAAAAAAAATTGTTACTATTAACATCGCCTAGGAGATTTTCCAGACTTTTTTCTCCCTAATTGATGCCCATGAAATTTCAATACCATAGATATACTGTATGTTTATAGACTGAATGTGTATCTGTGCTTTGCACATGAAAAGACTAAAATCTTCTACCTTTTCCACCAACAACCAGTTTTCACCCCTTTGGAGGCATTATCTCTCCGTCCCATTCTGAATGCATTGTCTATGAGAAATTCCATTTTAAATTCATGCTTCTCCATAAATTTCCATAAATTTCAGTAATCACTCAAGTTTTAGATTTCTAGCAGGATTTGTCTAAATATGTTCATAATGGGGAATCCAGTTGTGAAATCAAAACTCATTCCATAGACAAAAAATAGGGAACACTTCACAAATTTGTGTCATCCTTGTTAACCAGCCAAGCTAATCTCCTTTGTATTGTTCTAATATTAGTATATGTGCTGCCAAAGCCAGTACTCCTTGTGTCCCTTGTTTATTTGTTTGTATGTTTGTTTTTGTGAGGTAAAAACACTTAATGGGAGATCCAAACTCACAAATTTTTGAGCACACAGTACAGAATTGTTACCACTAGGCACCGTGCTGTACAGAAGATTTTCCGAGATCATTCATCTTGTGTAACCGAAACTACATACCAATTGAACACATTCCCATTTCTTTCCCCTCCCCATCCCCAGGTCCCTGGCAAGGACCCTTCCACTCCCTCCTTTATGAGTTTGACTATTTTAGGTGCCTCATGTAAGTGGAATCACACAGTAATGGTCCTTCTGAGACTGATTTAATTCACTCAAGATAATGTTCTCCAGGTTCATTCGTGCTGTTCCAAACGGCAGGGCTGATTTCTTGTAATGATGAAATGAGTTGCTTGTCATTATGTAGACACCATCTAGGCACATCTAAGCAACTGTTTATGAACTAGCAGAATCTTACCAACTGCAGTTGGTTGAGACAGTATGGGCCACAGAACCCTGTCTGGAGGGAGAAGTGTGCCATATCCTATAATATCAGCAATCCAGAATTAAGATCAGGATGAATACGGAAATTAAAACATGTGACAAAACTTATTAATTGTACTTGTGAAGGAGGCCCCAGGCTCTTCTTTAGGTTCTTCTTACTCATGCTATGATGATCTAACACACTGTGATCTCAGGAAGAATGTTGTAAATGGACTGACCAACTGCCCCAATGTCCCAAATCTAAGGGTTTCCCAGGAAGTCAGCTTCCAGTACTGAAACCAGGAAACCAGGGGGAACCTGAAGTCAGTCACTCCATTCTCAGCCATCCTCAGGAGTACCAGCAGGAGATGGAGGGTGAGGGGAAGTGGTAGAAGCACCAGCACAAGCTGAAACTGACCTGCCAAAATTGGTAAAATGCCAGGCATGATCCTGGCAAGCACAGCAAATTGGGGCCATTTGATGAAGGGGAAGACAGGCTTTTCCTCTTCACATCCAGGAGAATGTCTTAAATTAACTGCAGAGCACAAACATTGACAGCCTTTTAGCCAATAAAGTTGGGAAATACAAAATTCCAGTTGCAGTTCAAAAAATTAACGAAGTTGAGCTGCTGTACTGAAAGGATCGCTTTCAATGGTTTGCAGAATTGTCACAACAGAAAGCACATTTCCCAAAGATGTTGGATAAATGAGGTGCAACTCTCATATTATATACTAGAGGTCACCTGCAACCAAACCGCTCTTCCATGCTTTGGGAACACTGGCAATTCTTCCAGGCTTCCACTCATGTGGAATAATTTATTAAATAATATCCTTCTAGTAACAAAAGAAAAAAAAAAAAAGTTTTTTTTGTTTTTTTTTTTTTCTCCTTCAGGAGTGCCCTATTGAGCACATCAGGTTCATTTACTCAGCAGTAAAATCTACTCTTGAACATGATTTAAAAGCGAGCAATGTTGATCCCATCTGGAAGAAAACTGGCGCAGACCTTGTCAGTCAGAACATACATGGTATGGGCTCTAAAAGTAGCACAAGGAGTCTAATTTGATACTTATCCTGTTTTTAAATTTTAAAAGTAAACCCATTTATAACCAAAATTTTTTAGAAGTCTCAAATGAAGACCTTAGAATATTTGGAATAAAACATTTTCAGCTCTGTTGATAATTTCAATTTTAGTAATGACAATTTAATGGCAATTTATTATTTAAAAGACTCCATATACATCACTTCAACCCCCATCATTCTATAGTTGATGTTTATTTTATAATATACGCAATCATTCTTGAAAGAGGGATAAATTATTTAGTTCCAATGCATTTAACAAGGCACTATTTTATTTAATCCTTCTAATAACCTGATGAGGCAGAAATCACTAATGTCGTTTACAAATGAGAAAACTGAGATGTAGGAAATTCCATTTTTGACCTTTCAAAATTCAAAATCCTTATTTCCCCTGTACTTTCCTCTCCTTCAGAATAACTTCTCAGGGAGCACTTGGTAAGTCAGTGAATTTCAAACACATCCATCACCAAGCCAACGGTCCTTTAAACTATTAATTTTTGATGATAATGAGCATGCACTAACTTGCAATTACAAAAATTTTGTTTAAAAAACTCACAAACTCAGTCTTCCACAGTGAAACATGCATCAAAAATGAACTGGTTTGATAAATTGTCAATTGTTATATAACAAGCACAGTCTAGCAAAACAGCTTGGTTTCTTAAATACATCACCCTTAAATTTGTCAACATGGTCATTAGAATTGCACTTTATCAGTTTTGTTCTGTAATAATATGCAATTATGTATTTTACTGTTTTGACAAATATTTATTGAGCACCAACCATGTGTTGGGTTTACCCTAGAACACAGCTTCAAAGGTGAGCCAACCTCCGAGTCCCGGACCCAGGGCTCTCACCGTCTAGGTGGGTGTGGTTCCCAACTGTTGGCTCCTCCTCGTGTTTATATTGAGAATCCGTGAGTTTTAAATCGGACCATATAACCAGCCAGCTGGGCTTACCCGGAGATGACTGGTCAATGGAGGGAAGCAGGTCTACCATCTGGAGACACTGCCAAGTGTTAGCTAGAGCCTTTTTTTTTTTTTTTTTTTTTTTTTCCAAAACTTCCCTGCCATGCTTACCTTCCTTCTACAACTAGAGCCATTTTTTTTTTTAACGTGAAACTACAACAATAAAAGAGAAAGATGGCTGGGATGATAATTCCGTTGGGCACTATATGTATCATTTCATAGTCACACACCTGTGAGAGACATATTATTACCACCATGTTACAAGATAGGTAGATGGTATAGATGGTAAGTGGTGGAAATAAGATCAAGTGACAAACATTGACAATGGATTATTATAATATAGTGGAAAGGTTTGAGATAGAGCTACACAGAGATTATTATGGGAGCTTAGAATTCAGAAAATATGATTAATTTTTTAAAAAGCTGATTTCCAGAAGCCTTATACAGCCTAGGGTAGAGACTAGATCTTGCTTAGTTAGAAGGACAGATGTGGAGACATGTCAGTGTGTAAATGAGCATGGCCATCGTTAAACAACTAGATGGCTGATTCATAAAGCTATCTCTTGCAATGCAAACTTGAAAGTTTGAGATGTATCTGCAATGTAACTGATTAATACTTTCGATTTGGATTTGATCCCAAGAGGCAAACCAGGAGTACATTAAACAATCATTATTCACAGTCCTGAGGCGTAGAGAACTATGCTTTGATGACCCCGGATAATATCAAAGATCGATTTTATTCCTGTTACAATCAAGTCAGTGCTAACAGTATAACTAGTTTTAAGATAGTTCTGAAGGATATTATGAGTATAGGAAAGCTCATTCTAACAATCCCAGAAATTATACAAGCTCGTTGGAACCTAAAGCATACAAACTAAATAAAATCTCCAGTTGATAAACTGATGCTCTTTACTAGGAGAACTGTGTTTTGCTAATACAGTTTTGCTGCATGGTGAGTCCTGGGCAGTATCAGGCAAATGAATCCAAGCGGTCACCACTCCTGCTACCACAGTATTGAACCCAGGCTAAATTCTAACACCTTGAGCCTTTGTGGAATACTCATTATTTGTCAACTACATTCCATCTTACAAAATGTGGAAATTCAGGAAGGATAGGAACTTGTATGCATGGTCAACCTTTGTATTGCTCATACTTAGCATGTGGAAGCCACTCGGTTTATATTTGTTTTACGAATGGATGAATAATTCTTTCACATACATCTGTCTTGGAATTGTCCACAATTTTATGAAGATAGACTGGAAATGATTTTTTTTCTCTTACAAATGTAAAAGCTTAAGTTGAGAAAGTATACACTTTTGTCCCAAAGCATGTAGAAAGTGAGTGCAAAATCCAGACTTTTCCCAGTCATGACAATCACCCTTAGATGAGGGGAAACTTGCACTACGCACATAATACATATCCCATCAGTGTTTGCTAAATGCATCTCTGCATGTTCTTGGCATGCATTCTCTTCAGCTTATGAATCTGGGCCAGCTGGAATCTTCTTTCTTTTTAAAAAATTTCCCCCTTCTTACTAATTCTATCCAGAGCATAGGCAGAAAACTGTGGTAATGTTCATTTCATGAATTCATTCAGCTTAAAGGCTAGAACTTCTTTCAGATGATTTTAATCAGCACTATGTTTGTTCTTTAAAATGACAATTTTGTTTTCACAATTTAAGCGAAATTTCTTTCCACATTGAGTGTAATATATGGATGAAACATACTCAAAGGGATGGGAATAAAACATTTTCTGGAACTGAGGTTGATTACGTTACATTTATTATTTTAATGGTTTCTCATACTAGACATGACATTTAGGCTTTGTTAGTGCCATTTTACAGAAGAAAAATGTGAGATTAAATGTCTTGCTCCAAGTAGTTGGTGAAATCAGTGGGAAAGCTATTTGGACTTCATTTGGCTTAAAGGTCCTTTGCATTGTGTTCCCACTCATCCTAGAAAAGACTGTGTTTAAAAAAAAAAAAAAAGGCAACGAAAAAGAAGGTAGGTATAAATGGAATTTGCCTTGATCTTGAGTGTTTGCTGTATGCTGGGAGCTCTGCTAAGTGCTGGTGGTACATCAATGAAGAGAACACACAAAGTCTGTGCTCTTTAAATCAAATCATGGAGGAGACACATTTAAAATCTAGGGCTGGAGATAGAAGAAGATGCATTAAGTAGAGACAGAGACAAACCCTATGAGGCTCTAGGAAACAAACAGGGTAGCTGGAAGGGAGGTTGGGAGGAATGGGGGTAACTGGGTGTTGAGCATTAAGGAAGGCTTGTGATATAATGAGGACTGAGTGTTACAAGCAACTGATGAATTACTGAACTCTATATCTGAAATTAATGATACACTATATGTTAACTAATTGAATTTAAATAAAATAATTAAAAAAGAGAGGATGCATAAGTAAATGCATAAATGAAATACCATTAACCTTAAGCCAATCACTCTGAAGGACATGACTGGAATGCAAGGAC